CAGGGCACTAAAAAAACAGTAGAAGACAGCTGGTTAAGGGACTATCGAGAGTGATGGGATGTTGTTGGTTTTTTGACAAAACTGGTCAAATTCTCCTCACGGTAACATCTAAGTAAGACTCCTGTAACTGCGTCAGAGGCAAACACTGTGCCTGCTTTGTGTTGTTTGGGCCAACTGCACATGAGCACCACACGATGTCAGGAGAATCCGCTCCAGCTTTGCCCAAAGATGTTCTTTCTCACATTCTGGAAATGCAGATATTTTTTGTGTGTGTTGCCAAGCTGCGAAGCCTGGGTGAGGCATGCAGGAAGCAGAATTCATACGTTATATGATATTTGGATATTTGCCCATGCTGTTTTTTGTTTTTTTTTAAACTATCTGAATAATTAATGCTCAAACTGACTGAGCTGCTGCTCAGGGTGAGGTCTATAAAAGTTCAGGCCTCTGGTGTATTTATGATTAATGACAAGTCTACTAAAATAACAGCAGACTGACTCTTTTTCAATCCTCCAAATTAAATAAAACCTATTTTGAGGTCCCATTTAGTGAAAGTGTTTTTGTTAACAGCATGTTTCTGTACGGAATTGAGATGATAGCCTTTTTTTTTTTTTTTTTTACATATAAAGCTGGACAGGGGAAAAAACACAAAAAATCAGAAACAAAAACTTGACTGCTTTATCAACCTGATTTTTTTTCCACTGATAAAAATACTTTTGGCTACTCCCTTTGTCACCCTGGGTAGTGCCACATGTTTGATTTTGCCGGATGACCAACACGGGATGTGTGTCTCTGGCTGTAAAGTAACCGGTGACCGTTTCCTTGCCAAGCGAATATGTCAATCACTTCTGATCGCCTGTCAAAATGATGTTCACTTTTCTGCTTTCCTTTGTGTGTTTCAGTGGATTCCCTGTCATGCAAAAATTGCAGATTTGGCCTTGTGGGGTTCTGCTTGTCCAGCAGTACAGAGACCTGCTCTACCAACACCAGCACTTGCTTTGTTGGAACCGTGGGTAGGTCACCTCCTGATTGTTTTAAACATCACAGCAAGTGAGCACAGGAATGAATCACATAAATCACACCTATCTACTTTCACAAATGTATCTGAAGACATACCCGATGTCCTCAGCTGCCAAAAAAAAGTAGGGTGTGGTGGTAGCTGGGTGACAGTGGAAAATTACAAGTTAACAGGTGCTGTGCTTTAAAGAATAGTCAGTTCAACTGGTTTAAGGTTATAAAAACAAAAGTGCAGTATTAAAATAGGACTGAAAAAAGAGATTAAATACAATAAACTTTATACTGTATATATTTTAAATGTCATTCTTCACCTCTGTAAGTCTCAATAGCCTAACATAACTTTTCTCTCTCTAGCTTTCCCATCACTCACCAGCTTCTCAGGCTTCACCAGCCGGGGCTGCCGAAGTGACACTACAGGTTGCAACATGACGACTAACAGCACCCTGCTGGGAGTCAGCTACAACCTCGCAATCACGTGCTGCTCCACAGATAATTGCAACCCCGCAAACAGTGCCCCATCTGCCAAGATCACCCTTTCTGCCGCCATTGCTGCAGCCGTCCTGGCCTCCGCTTGGGGAAGCATGTTGTGATCAAACTTCACACAATGCTAGCTAAATCCATTTGTACCAAAAAACTAAGAAAAAACATGTTCTTTACACTCTATCTAAAATGAAGTCTTTGGATCTCAGCAGTTATTAAGTAAACTTATATGCATAGTCATGCAGCGAAGTTTTGTTTGTCACATAAAACACAAACCTCCAGTGCCAACGTCATGAAAGTTAATCTATGAGATGTTTCAGGGAAACATTGAGTTTGTAAGTCTTCCATGTTGTTGCTTTCCTTTTTTGTATTTATCCTTTTAATGACTGTGTTATAAAAATAAAAGAAGTTCTAAAAAGCATCTTTAGCCTCAGAGTATTTCTTATTTGACTGATTGTGGATACAGTTTACAAAAATGACAACAAAAACAAAGGGAAACACAAAAACTGGTTACATTGAATACAAAACAGAACTTCTCATGTTTCAACTTAGGTAAAAAAAAAAAAAAACCTAGCACAAGAACCGGGGCGATTGATACTAACAAAACCTTTCCTTGCAAACCACAAAGAAGTTAGCTGCAACACAACTGAACTTCACATTCCCATTAACACAGTAAAACCTACAGTGGTAGGTCATCGAACATCTATGGAATAAGCAAATCTGTTATTTAGCAGGAACATCCCTAAATTTAAGGTTAGACAAGTTTGTCAGAAAAAGACTCCAGATTTTATCAAATGTGCCTTTTTTATTTTGGATGGAGCCTTCCAACTTCTCAAAATGGCACATCTAGCCAGGAGGGAACCAAAGGACAGCACCCGACGTTTTGCCCCGGTAATATACTTATCATCCTCACCTACTGTATCAAAGAGAGCAAGTACGGGGTTGAGAGCCAGTTTCAGGCCGGCAGCCTTGTTCAGAGTGCAGAAAACCTCTTCCCAAAAATTTGCCAAGGCAGGGCAGGTCCAAAACATGTGGGTAAGACTGGAATCATCATACCAGAACCTGTTACAATGGGGGTCAAAGCTAGGATAAATCTTAGCTAATTTGGATTTAGACAAGTGGGCCCTACGGACTACCTTGAATTGGAATAGGGAGTGGCGTGCGCAGAGTGACAAGGAACTTACCAGAGTGAGGACTGAATTCCATACGTCATCTGACATGGTTATACCCAACTCCTTCCCCCATGTGGATTTGAGGCCTTCAAAGGGAGCTGAAGTTACACTACACAGTTTGTTATGGATGCGGGAGATTATACCTTGCCTGACAGTTGCGAATTAAGGAGCTCGTCCATTAGTTAGCAGCTCGAGGTTCTGGAAAATTGGAGAGGTGGGATTGCAAAAATTGTGTGAGTTGTAAATGTTTAAAAAAATTGAGTTTTGGGAAGAATGTATTTTGCTGACAGCTGATCAAATGATGCTAGTTTATTGTGTATAAAGAGATCTTTAAAGTAGATAATACCTGCTCTAAACCAGACCTGGAACAAATTGTCCAAAGCTGGAGGGAGGAATAGGTGACTTGATTGGATGGGGCTTTGAAGTGAGAAATTCTTAAGATTGAAATGTTTCCTGAACTGAGCCCACACCCTGAGGGAGTGCTGAATTATCGGATTAGATGTAAAGTTGTCAATGGATAAAGGGAGAGAAGAACCCAGAAAGAAGGCAAGAAAAATATACTGAGTTGAG